AGCTTCTTGAGATCCTTTTCCATGTTGGTCACTTGGGCATGCTCAGCCTCCAGCTGTTGACGCAGTTTGGTGCGCTCCATTTCCAGGCCATAGGTTATGTCATCGCCCTGRGCGGTATCGTGCTCGTGCTTGCGTCTCTCCTCCTCCAGCTGCTGCAACATGCGCTGGTTGTTCTCCAGCGACTCAGTCAATATGTTAACCATSCGMACATGGGTGCCACGCTGCTTGCTGACCATCTGATACTGCTGCTCCATTTGCTGCTCAATGATCTGTCGTACTTCCATCTCAGCTTGGGCGGCCTGTGTCGAGGACTCGCGCGATATCAGATTGCCATTTAAGGCGATCTTATCTCGGAATAGCGATGCGTACGGATCATTTGGTTGCACGCGCTTCGTGCGCAGCTGTGTGATCAGATGCTTGACGCGCTCGTTGCGTAGCGCAGCGATGCACACATCCCGTGCCTGCAACTCGCCTTCCAAGTAGTAAAGCATCTTTACCAGCTCGCTGTGTGGCAGCTCAGTGCGACCATTGCCCATATGCTGCTGCTGATGTTGTTGCTGTAGTTGCAGTTTATGTCCTGCACCCGGTTTCATGGTCTGGAATTCATGTGTAGCACTGATGTCGCTGCCGCTGCCGCTGCTACTGCAGGCGGCTGTAGTAGCAGTTGCTATTGGACTATTGACATCCAGCTCCTGCTCGGTTGAAATAGCGCTGGAGTTCTGCTCCATTATCCTGGCTTTTTTTACAGCATAAAAAAATTGTTGTTCAAGGCTGCGTCGCAGTTTGTAAATTTTGAATTACAGTTTTAACTTTAAATTGCACTTATCTCCGTTATGTTACACTATTTTAATGGCATTTTAATGGCTCTAACGTGGGTTAATTTGCTAAATTCTATGCCATACAAATTCTTTGTTGCCGTGAAAAAGTGGATACTTCTTGTTAGAGATGGTACACAAAAATATCGTTTTATCGGTGTGACAATATGCGATTCTAGCTAAACTCATTGATTATCGGACAACCTCAATAATTCAAAAATTATATGTTTTACAACACTATAAATTTATTCCACTTTGATTTGGATTAATGTACAGGTAAAGTAAAAATAACTATTTTTGGAAAACAAATGGCTTCGATGTATTATATGCAAGTGAATGACGAATGTGTTTGCCCACCAAACGCTCAGCCAGTGGTATTAAAGCCGGCTTTCTAACGTATATGCCCGTCGCCTGTGGCGTCCACACACGCATAATGCACTCGGAGTTTTCTGGCATCAACAGACCAAGCCAACCGGCGGAGCTGAGAACTATATCACAATTAAGTTGTTTGCCATCGTCAATGCTGTCCACACCGCCATTCTTGACAACAATATCCTTTTCCATGCACTGCAATCCCGGCCAGCGTTGCAGGCGCTTTTCATCTCCACTCGACATGGGCACACCCAACAGCGGTGTCCCCAAATATCGTTTATAAACCAGCTCTGCTGCCGATGTATCAGCTATCAGAATCGGCAGTGTTTCGGCGGCAAAAACAAACAGTTTTACCCAGCTCCGATTGCATTCTAGCAAATCCACACGGGCCAAACCTCCCAATAGCAGSGACATTTTGGATGGCAGGCGAACAGCTCTGGGCTTTAGCATTTTTGTTGGCTGCAGATGAAGCAGTTCCTGCGTCGTCAGCAGCGGCGTCAATTGATCTGGCTGCATAACCCCGGGCGTGTCATAGACCCAACGGGCCTCTCGATATTCCGGCTTCCGCTCATTGAGTGATACGATGGGTTGCGTACCACTTGGCATTGCGAAAGCGTCATCCACTTCTAGRCGATTATCAAAGGTGCGTCCMACTGTTCCAATAAGTTGAGCCGATGTCACAGCGCCCGTATCCTTTGCCTGCTCCCGACGCATCTTCTCTAACGCCGCACGTTGYTCCCGTTCCGCAAAGAGACGCTTATAACGCTGATATATGCGTATATCGGACGGTCGCAGTATGGGAAACTTAAGCATTTGCAGAGTTGTGCCTGGCCAAGCACAAGTCGTCGCCTTGCGCACCAGCTCTGAGGCCTCGGTGCGACAATAATCCGAGTTCAACAAGATATTAAACAGTGAGCTCTTKCCCACATTGGTGCAGCCCACCAAATAGACGTCGCCTTTGTATGCCCACACGTTGTGCAGCTGCGTTATGAGTTCCTCAATGCCAAAGCCCGTCTTGGCCGATATAAGGCTAACATTCTTAATATTGAGGGCATTGAAGCCACCGTGCTCTATGAACTGCTGTTTGAGGCAGCTCTTCACGTGCGTTAGATAGTTATTGCAGTCACGCGGCAGTAAATCCACCTTATTGCCTACTAGGAAAACTGGACGCTTGCTTCCAATCACCTGTTGCATGCCCGGCCAAATGGAGCACGGGAAGTCCAGCAGATCGACAATTATAATTGCCAAAGCATATTTGTCTTGTATTCGTGATATCGTTTCCACATAGGCCGACGGCGGTACCTCCACATCTAACGCAATATTATAGTTCTTGAGAAAGTGACAGCGTTGGCAGGTAATTGTCTGTAGCTCGGTCTTTGTACGACCCTAAAAATAGTTTATATTGAATATTAGAATAAAATACATATAGAATAAGAATTATAATTTGTTGCATAATCACTTTGAAAATTTCACTGGGTATGTAACCAGGCATAGAGGTGTTCGCACAGTGTAAATGTGCTCCACATCCGTTGCAGGGCACCGTTGATGGCGGCACTGTTGCATCGGCAGTTCCATGTTGTGAATCAATGTTGCCCGCCCCATCGCTTGCGCCAGCATAGAACTCATAGTCATCCATCCAATTGGGCGGATATGATGGAGGGATCGGTGAGACATCACTTTGCAAGGCACTTAAAACTTCCAGTGGTGGAAAAACCGCTTGATTAATTTGGTCAAATTTATTTCGCTGTCCCAAATAGTACTCGAGGAAAGAGCTGTAGTGTACGTATTCATAGTTAACATAGCGTTGTCGTGCCGCATGCCAAGCCTTYTGACGGAAGCTCTGTTTTTCATTTGGTGTCGTGCTTTGTAATCGCTTCCAAACACACAAAATATTTTCATTCAATTTCTTTAAAAATCTAGTTTTTAACATTTTAAGGCCCAGGCATGCGAACTAACACTCGCCGCTATAAAACTGTGGAGTGTCAGTGCTGTTAAATAGTGTGCCGAGAGCTAGTAGTGTTGATGAACGCGTTGGAAAAAGCAAAAAAACACTCGTCGGAAAAGAGAAAAAAGAAAGCAGCAAAGCAAGCATTAGCGAAAGCAGAGCGTGTACAGAAGGTGAGTGAGTGCGTGCTAAAAAAGCGTGTATGTATTAAATTGAAACAAAAAAGGAATAAAAAACGTGGACATAGCGCATACAAAATGCACTTGCAATGATCATTATTCAATTGCACATAATACACATTGGTAAAAGTACAGAGTGCAACCCAAATAATGATTAGGAAAGTGTAGAAAAAGACAAGTGTATGTGTGTGTCGTGTATGCAACTGTGTGCGCTTGCTGTATCGCGTTCGTGTGTGTGTGCGTGCGTGCGTGTATATGTCAGTGGCTCTGTGAATTAAAGTAAAACGAAGCGCGACCTAATTTTCATCTACATATTACAATAATATTTGCATAAACAAGTACAAATATGACAATAGAGAAACAGAACGTGCAAAAGTCAAATTACCAATGCAATATTAACCCGACCATTTGTTGTTGTGGCATGCCACGAAGAGTGTGTTGAGTGTGCCGCCACTGTTGCCCTCGCCGCTGCCGCTGTCTCTGCCGCCGCCATTGTCTAGGAGGCAGCAGCAGCAGCAGCAACGACTCTCGCACATTTCTTCTTCAGTGAATTTCGAGTAGTTCGTTCGTTCCTTTGCCTCATCAAATATTGTTGTTGTGAGCGCCATGTTGAGTAATACACGAGACAGCAACAACAACATTTGCGAGAGCGGCGGCTCATCAATTTTGTGAGTGTTGCAACTTTCGTTCGAACTCGTTTCAAATTATTGTGGCTGCCGTCACTCTTTCGCTCTTTCAGTCTTCTCTGTTGTCTTTTCTCAGTTTCAAAACTGGTATTTTTTCTTAATGAAGAAATAAACATATGCATGCGATTGTGGGTGTTTTTTCTGCCTATTCGTGTGTAAACAGAAAAGGGGTAAAAATCAATACTCGACCGACCAATAGTAATACAAATTAGACAATTTCAACATCACTCAACAACAACAACTTATCTTATTGCTGCCGCGCTGCTTAACTGCTTCTAAACTAGTGCAAGTGAGAGAGATAGTTGCATTTTTAAAAATGCACGCACACAAATGCAATTGAAATTTCCAACAAATGTCTACCCTCGCCGTCTTCGCTGTCGCTGTGTTGTTGTTGTTATGGTTGCTGTTGTAATGTAATTGCGAAATCATAACGGCAGTTGAAAGTTGAGAGCGCCTAACCAAGTGTATGTGTGTGCTGAGTTTGTGTATATATGTATATTGACAAGTATGTGTGAGCCTTTGCCTTTGCCTTTGCTGTAAAGCTTATACTTAGACGAAGTTTGTACGCGCTACTTTGCTGCGATCTCAGGCCGCCCACACAGAGCCGGCGCAAGTGTAGCGCATATGGAAGTGTCGACAAGCTGGTCCCAGCGACTGTCGCAACAGCACAACACATGTTGTCTGCACAGTGGAGCGTTGACCGTAGTAAAGTTACTTAAAATGCATAACCCATTTATTTTGAAGATAATTTAATTTCAATAAAGTTGTTTAAAAAGTGTTACATTTTAAATTAATGCGTCAACGTTGGCATTCACATTAATGGAACTGCTGACTTATGTATATATRWTTACAATATTCTTATATTCACATATACATACAATAAATATATGTGTATATTGTATGTACACTGTGCGGGAGCAAAAAAATTTCAAATAAGCAACGCAAATGACTAAAATGCAGAAATTGCCTTGAAAAGTGAAAGGCATTCAGTGTGAGCGCGCTTAAGTGAGCGAGTCTTTGATATTTTGTTTAACCTTTGTCGCTCTTTTGTTGTTATTTTTGTTGTTTCTTATTTCTTGTGTTTACTGCGGCCCAACTTTGCACATTTGACATTTTCCAACACACACACTCAGTACATTCCATGCCCGGTGACTGCACATTGCGTCTGCGCAAAATACTTTTTGCTATTGTATATAGARTGTCTTTGGCTGTGGATCGTCGTCTTCGTCAGTTGGCGTTGTCGTTGCCGTTGTGCAACGCTTAAGACGTTGCCAGCGATAGTGTAGACGACAGCGACAGCGTCAGCGCGGCTGCCTACTCTTTCGCAATTTGCAAGTTTGGCTCGGCGCTCGGTGCTCTCACGACGGTCACACTCGATGCGAACTGTGTGAAATTTCGCCAAGTTTGTGCTTATTTTGTATTCGCGAGCTATTAAAAGTCACGTTTTGTTTATATATACATATATGTATTGTACCATACCATTACCGTTGTTTGTTTTTTATTTGCAGAACTCAAGGAGAACATTTAAAATCATCTGTGAAGTTAAGAGATAGTTTACTAGAGTCTTTTGGCCCGCACGTCTAAATTGTATTTCTCCTGCCTGTGTATCAGAACTCTGAGCGCGCGTTTTCTTCGAACGCTCTCCAGRCCATAACAAAACAAAAACATATAAATAATACAAAAGCTTCTACATGATGTCGTCGGACCAACAGTTTTTTCTAAAATGGAACGATTTTCAAACGAATATGGTGACCTCGTTCCGTCACTTGCGCGATGAGAAGAGTTTCACAGATGTAAGTTTTTACCTTTTTGAAATATCTCTTACTACATTAACATCTTTATTTATCATAAACCAAGCAACGCACCTGTTTATCTTATTAACGACGCATAATCAAATTCGTGAATACACTGTAATACTCAAATGACAAACAAGAGTTCATTCATTCTCCACCTCTCCATCTCATCTACCTGTTCTCTTTCATTCTTTTGATTGTGATTCATATATTCTGCTCCTATTTTATTTATATGTAGTAATATATTGTATTGGTTTACTAARCTGCTTTACTTTGTTTTCTGTTTAGGTAACACTTGCCTGYGAAGGCCAAACTTGTAAGGCACACAAAATGGTGCTTTCAGCTTGCAGTCCCTACTTCAAGGCGCTATTAGAGGTAAGTCATATTTCAATATATTTCACTTACAATTTCATACCATCATTTTTGATTTGCAGGAAAATCCCTCAAAGCATCCAATCATTATACTGAAAGATGTGTCCTACATACACCTGCAGGCAATACTCGAGTTCATGTATGCCGGCGAAGTGAATGTATCGCAAGAACAGCTGCCAGCATTTCTTAAAACGGCTGATCGACTTAAAGTGAAAGGTCTTGCAGAGACACCTAGTTCTATAAAGCGGGAGGGTTGATGGTATTTAAACAAATAAACAAAATATAAACACAACTATAAGAAACTTATATACGCAAGCAAGAAAACAAAATTCCAACAAAAGAACGAAACAGAAATAGTGGAACGTAGCTAAAACAAAAAGAATAACAACATTAGAGATATACAGACACAAAGTTCATTTCAAAACTYAATGCACACCCATAAGCMCACAAAGTTGACAAATTTACGAATAGTTCAAACTTAAAAGTAACGTTTACGATTTTATGATCCCTGACACTGACCTATATCCCTCCCCTCTAACTAGATCAAACACAAATTTGCAATATTTATGAACACTGTCGACCCATTGAATTTGATTTGAATCGTATTTTTAATTTCATCATAAAATAGTTTGTAATATACTATTCTTAAACATAAAACACACAAAACACTGTATAAAAAGCAAAATATGGACAACCCTGCATAACAAAGGAATGAAAATGTACGCACTTTTGTAAAGTAAATAAAAGAAAACTCATAAAAGAAAAAAACAAAAAATATATAGAAACATAGTTATATACATAATGTAATGTGAAAAATGTGCAAGTAGGAAGTTAAAGATCATCCGCACGGCAGCGAATATTTACAACACATTCAGTTAGATTTTAAGCCACTAACTAAAATCCACAACGTTTCACCCTCTTCACGCACACAAACAAAAAACAAAACAAAAATGTTTTTTCAAAATTCTAAATGCAATATTTTAATTACTTTACTTTGTTTGGAAAAGAAATATAGTTAAACTTTCATACCATAACATACATATGTAACAACAGAACAACAACAACAATAACGTTTACCGTTTGCGATATAAAGATAGAAACTTTCATGTAAAGCTATCAATTCTACTTAGTTTTTTAAATATTACACATAAACTTGATGAAAAATTGAAAAACAACAAAACAAGAAAAACGATACTTGAATATTATTACATAAAGTAAAATATTTATATGTATGTATATGTATACATGTGAGCATAGATTTAAATAACTACGATAAATAAACAGAATAATTCCAAAAAAAAAAATACAAACATACCCATCTTGATATCTTGAGGAATTCGGCTGAAATGCAAATGACTTAAATTTGGCCAAAACAAATGAATTTAAATGTTGCAATTCTTTGAATTTTATTACTTTGATTTCGTTCATAACATATCCATATTCTTATATTTCCTACGTATATATACATATATGTATATATTTCTCCATTCCGTTTCATATAGTGTATTATTGACAATTTAACAAAATCGATGGCACTTCGCGAGGATTACGCCAGGTTTTCTATATATAATTCGACTATATCCTTCGTGCAGGCATAATCGGTGAAGTGTGGCCAAGTATTGCAGAGATTGTATTGCAATTTCAATTTTAAAAAATTAATTTACATTATACTAGATGTGCTTAAAATCTAATTATTAAAACAATACGCATTACGCGTATTCGGCTCGAACGGATCAGTGCGCATTTTCTCCTGGTTTTCCTCAACGTAGCGCGTCACGTCCTTGATGAGATTGGGCCGCTCGTCGGCGCTCGGCGCACACGGCGACCAGATTTTAATGTCGTGATCGATTCCACTGGTGGCCAGCATGCAAATGCTCGGATGTGGCTGCACGCAATTAACAATGGCACTGTCGGCACGGTAGACGGCTCGAATTTTTGCGGTGTCGCCCTCCCAGATGTAAAAGTTGCCGTCATCGGAGCCAGCGGCAATGAACTCGCCATTCAGGCCCAAATAATTGGCCTCCTTAATGTCCGTGGTGATGTTGCAGTGGCCCACATAGCGCTGCTTGTAGTCCTTGGCAGCGCGACGTTGGGCATAGTCATCGTCGGTCAGACGCAAATAGCGAAATCCACTCTCAATCAACGTGGGCTCGTGATCGGACGTATTAGCTCCACACTCCTGCGATTGCTGCTGCTGCTGCTGCAGTCGGTTCTCATTGATGTCCTTGTGCAGCATGAGCACACCATGGTTATTAGCGAAGCTGGGAAAGCGTTGTATTAGCTCCTGCAGGCACTTGTCCGCTTCGTGTGGCCGGTGCAACTCGAGTAGGGCACGCGCCAATCGAAAATGCGCCTTCACGTAGGTGGGATCCAATCGTAACGCTTCGTGGCAATCTCGCAGCGCTGCATATATATCGCCAAACCAGCCACGACGCATCAATGCTGTAGCCCGATTCAAATAAAGCACCTCGCCCTGCGGATACTCAGCCAGTGCCGCAGAATACGTATCAATCGCCGCCAGCAATTTCCCATTTTCCAACTGCTCATTGCCTAGTTTCTTGTGCCGCTCGATGCTCGTTGGCAACGTGCGACGYTTYTGCTCCTTCTTGGTTCGTATTTCCAGCTTAGCACCGTTACTRTTCGCCGCATCGGAAACCTCTTCCTGCTCCGCCTGCATGGCTGGTGGCGCAGCTGTATACTCGGGCAGGTCGTAGAATATCGGTGGCGTGGCATTGTGTAGATCATAGCGATAGATATGCTCAGAGCCCATGTTCACCAGCAACTCCGTTGTGTTATAGCTGTTGAACGTCAGATAGGTGACGGTGCGCGATTCGTGGATGATGTTCCGACTGATGTTCTTCACAATCTGTCCTGGCGCAAAATAGGACACACAGCTGCTGGCTGCAAGAAAGACAGAAAAATTCATAATCTKGTTKAGCACATGGTACACTTCTGCAAYTACCTTCGCCTGGCAGCATTCGTCGATCGAAGAGTCGTGCAAAGGGATCATTGGCACCCACGGCCAGGTACTCGGTTCGTCTTGGATTGATGGCCAGACACTTGGCCTCCGTTGTGGACTCAACTTGAGTGCATAAGCTGAGCAGTCGTACGCCACCCGACGACTGCTGTTGATCATCGGGGCCGCGACAGCGATGCGCCTCACGCATATCCAATTGTAGGATGCTGCCATCCTCGCCGGCGGACCAGAATATATGCGGTGAATCGGGCGCAGTGGCCAAGCGCTTAACACGCATCGTATGGCAATTGCAGGTGAACAACGTCGCATTCCCGTGATTTATGTCATAGACATAGATATATTTGTCAGCGCCACAGGTGGCCACGATGCTATTGTTGTGACGCGGCAGAAATTTGACGGAAAATATATTTCCCAGATGTTTGGTGTCTATCGTATGGACCCGCCGCTTGCGAAACGGATCCCATATCATCACTTTGTAATCATCCGAACCGGAGGCCAGCAGCAGGCCATCGTTAGTCCACTCGAGACAGTTGACACAGCCATCGTGGCCGGTCAGCAGCGCCTCCTGCTCGAGACGGTCAATGTAAGCTGGTGAAGCTTGCAGTCGCCGTCGCAACTGTTCGTCCACATCGCAGCCAAATTGTTGACGCTGCCAGTGCAACGCGCTGGCATTCAAGGGCGTCCGATGTTCTGCGCTCTCGTGGCGTTGATAACGCGAACTTGAATACTTAGTACGCCACAGCAGTTCATCGCTCGACATTATCTATCTAGTGGTTAGAATTGTTTAGAGGATTATGAAACTTGCTCAATTTATTATTGCATGTTGCCTTGCCTTTGCCGTTTGCAGTTGTCCGTTTCGATTCGCATCGCCTGCTGTGTTTCGACCTTTTTTTTCTTCCCTTTTATTTTTGTTTTGTTACCAGTGGTGACCCATACACGTTGCAATCAGCTGCAGTGTCGCGTTGCGAGCAAACCGAGTGCTGTTCTACATATGTGTGCATATATATTTAGACGCAATAAAAACATATTTTGCTGCTGAGGCTTTTTAAACACAAATTTACGTGTTAGACATTAAATTTCTGTATGAAATTCGGCTGTTACGTGTACAAGTCGCACTAGTGGTGGCCGCATTAGCTGCATGACAGACTGRATTCGTTTCGCCTGTCATCATATTTACCGTTCTTAACAGTGCATACAAAAATGCGACAAATGTCAAATTGTGACAATATTCTATTAAATGACACAAAATAAGCAGGAGAATAGTAGACTGAAATTATTAATATTTTTTAACATATCGGCATATTTTGCAGCAATTTGCTGCATAAATAACCATTGAAATCGGTAGTTATGATTTAACGAAAGCTTATTTACAACTTTTAGTAATTCTACTCATTAAATGAAAAATTGCGTTAATCGATAAGATATCGATATGTTGGCCACGGTGCTGCACTTAGTCCATCGCTAATAATAATCAATAAACAGAGCAATTTTGGGTAGCAAAATACCAATTTTTGTATGAAAAAAACTGTATACAAAGAGTGTTTGATAAAGAGACGGTGAGTAAAATATGTCCAACGAAAAAGTGGACGACTGTGACAAAAATCAGAAAGTAGAACACACAAAACAGACAACAAACAGTGTGTCACACGATGATGACTCGGAATCGGATGAATATCAATCGGCGGGCGAGGGTGACGACGATGACGATACAACAACAGCAACAGCAACAACAGCTACATCAACAGCCGCATCTGTCCCCATCATACCTTCCCCACTATCAGATGATTGTGTCGAGTTTCCAATGCATCGCAGCGTTTTCGAGAACGACATACGAACGCTGCAACGTCGCCTGCTTCTGAACACTGCCGCAAAGGAAGTGGCCGAAAAAGATAAACATGGCAATACGCCCCTGCATCTGGCCGTTATGCTGGGGCGCACCTGCTGTGTCCGCCTGCTGCTCGCCAACAATGCGCCCGTCAAGGTGAAGAACAACGAGGGCTGGTCACCGCTGGCCGAGGCCATCAGTTATGGCCATCGCCAGACCATCACGCAGCTGCTGCGCATGCTGAAATTGCAGTCGCGTGAGCACATGGAGAGCCGACGTGAACGTCTCGTGGAGGCACTGCGTCAGATGCAGGACTTTTACATGGAGTTCAAGTGGGACTTTCAGTCGTGGCTGCCGCTCGTCTCTCGTATTCTGCCCTCGGACATTTGCCGTCTGTACAAGTGCGGCGCCTCCCTGCGCYTGGACACAACGTTGGTGGACTTCAATGACATGCGCTGGGATCGTGGCGATATATCGTTTCTATTTCGTGGCGAGGCGGCGCCAAATGAGTCCCTAGTGCTGCTGGATAACGAGCAGCARTGTTATCAGCGRCTGCGCTATGAGGAGTCCGACATGGAGGACGAGGTTGATGTGCTGATGTCCACTGACATTTTGGCCACCCAAATGTCCACGAAAACCATACAATTCGCACGAGCTCAGCGTGGCTGGCTGTTCAGGGCCAATCGCAAGGAATTGATAGGCGGGCAATATCAATGCGAGATCTATACCATTCAGGGTCTGGTGCTGAAGCAGCGCAAGCGACGTGAGCACTTGTCGCACGAGGATTTGCAAAAGAATCGAGCCATCGTTGAGACAATCACCAAAGGCGGCAACCATACGGATTCGAATGCGGCCACAACTCCCAATGGCAGCAATCTAACATTGCCGGAGCTGCCGCGTCGCAGCTCGCTGCCACCGCCGCCTACCACAACGGTCACCTGGTCGCAATATATTGAAGCGCCCGTGGGCAAATGCCCACAGCTGGGCCGTGCGCCGGTTAACAAGCAATCAAACAAAACGCTGCGGGCAACGGTTGCGATGAGCACAGATTTTCCGCTTAGCGTGGACATGCTGCTGGACGTACTGGAGGTGGTGGCACCGCTCAAGCATATCAACAAGCTGCGCGAGTTTGTCACACTCAAGCTGCCCACGGGTTTCCCCGTTAAGATTGAGATACCCGTGCTCCATACGGTCACCGCCAAGGTGACCTTTCAGAAGTTTGAGTTTCGCGACAATATACCCGCTAAGCTATTCGAGATACCCGCACATTATTGGGAGGATGTGCGGCGCTTTCAGGACTTATGACCTAGCGATGAATCATCGTCATCCTCATCAGCTGCCAATACGCCAAGCGCCGTCAAGCAGATCGATTTGAATCGCAACAGCAGTAGAAACAGATGCGAGGACTCCAGTCGTACGCCGATTTCCGATCTTGATTAAAGCTGYTCCGGTTGCTACTACTGCTGCTGCTGCTTCTGCTGGGCCAGSCGAAGCCTCCACGGTCGATCCAATCCACAATTAGCATCAATCACCATCTAGTGCACCTCTAGCCATTCGCGATCCCTGCTCCCACTAGTTGATGATGTATGTCACAAGAAAATTGCAATTTTTACCATAAATTATCAATCAGTTAAATTATCGAAGTGTCCCCGAATTTGTAGAAGTTGTCTTTGTTTTTGTCAATTAAAATGTGACGCTATGAAAATTGCAATTTCAGACTAGCAACTAGAAACTAGAAACTGGAAACTTGGCAATGAATTTGATATGGAGCTGTGGCTCATGTTAAACCCAACTCCCCGCCCCTCCATTCAGAGTTTATTAAATGGAATTCAATRTTAGTGTAACAGATCCATGAAGCGATAGAGAATTCTGTTTAGATATAGAGTATTATCCGAGTCTRTGTCYATGTCTGTATGTACATATAGCATATACAATGTAAAAGTACATTCAATATGCATACGTCATTTAATAATGTACAAGTATTTATTGTTGCACTTTACTTAAACATTCTACATTCTTTTATCATCCGCTTTGCAGCAAATCGCTTTGTTATCATTGATAATGAGTCAGGCTAAAAATAAGATTACGCAGACC